CGGTCTCTGGACAACGAGATTTGTCAGACATCGATGTGGACACCCAGCTCATGTTGAATGTAACGCCCCGGCTCGCTCAGGGGATTGATCGAGTAATACAAGTGCTTTCGTTTTGTCATGTGAGGGATCGCCAGGGCTTTATGCAACACTCTGACCGAATAACCTACACATCTTTTGTCAAGAGCGGTTCAGAGAAATCAAAATTACTTGTGACTCAACCCAATAGTCAATGGACGCGTACTCCTTAAATGTTATGCGTTGCAAAGTAACGATTCTTTTTATAAAGGATGAAGCATTTGCCGTTGATCAATCCCTTTTTTGCGGCACGCATTCTACTTCCATTTGTACATTCGTAGTGGCGTTTGAATGCGATGTGGCCTATACAATGACTTGCGGGGGCCAGCCGATGTACAAGTCAGTGTTTTTATCCTCCCAGACAAGTCTGGTACCAATTAACCGACCCCGGAGGGATGGAAGGCTTGGTTGGCCCGGGCGACTCACGACCCAGGATTTGATCCCCGGACCGCTCGCGTGGTAAGCGCGCCACTTGCCACTACACCACTTCCGCCCCTACTATACATATAATGAGCGCGTATGTATACTCTAGTGCACTGTAAAATAAATAACGTCAGGATTAGCGGCTCAGCTGAGACGCTAAGCCTATCATTACTTGTCTCTAAAAGCCTTCCAGCAATTTAACTAGTTTACTAAGAGTAACTGAAAACAAATACTATGATGTGTTAGACGGTAGTCTCTAGTACATTTATTTGAAAGGAGAAAAAGTCTTAAAAATCACTGTGATTTCGTGGCATCTTTTGAAGGGGTCGTAGAACTTGCAAAAACCCCTTTTCCTTTCTTGGTTACATGGGTTGAAGCATCAGAGTCTCCAGGATTCGGCGTTGCGTCCTCTTCTTTCGGGGTTGTCGATTTTTTGTGGTGCTTCTTTTCTTCACTGGAGTCTGACGAAGAATCGCTCCCATGATGTTTCTCGTGCTGAAAACATTATATGAACCTGAGAAGTCGTAAAAATGTATATGTAAAAGCAGTATAATGAAGATAATAATATAATAATGATTCAACATAATGTACAGTAGCGGTCAAAAGTGTTCGCCGAAACGATTTTTAGTGCATTATTTTTTCTCGCTTGAGCAACGCCCTCCAAAGATTGATATACTATGTTTTCTAGTGTTTTTATATCCTCAAGTCTTTAAGAATCAGGATATTCAAAAGAAAAATTTTCGAGGTCACCATTGATTTTTCGGCAAAAAAAGCACGGAAAACCGTTTCGGCGAACACTTTTGACCGCTACTGTATTATATAAAATAATCTGAAGAAACATATCGACTCATTACCTTGTGCTTCTTCTTCTCTTTCTTGTCCTTGTCGTCCCCATGTTTCTTGTGGTGTTTATCGTCCTTGTGTTTCTTCTCATCCTTGTGATCCTCATCGTCCTCATGCTTCTTGTGGTGTTTGCCGTCCTTGTGCTTCTTTTCGTCCTTTTCCTTTTCGTCGTCCTGATGCTCCTGGTCGTCCTTATGGTCCTTGTCATCGTCGCTCTTCTGGTGCTCGTCCTTGGAATGTTTGTCGCCTTTTTTGCCCGGCTTTGCCAAGGCAACGGCCAGGACCACCACTGCTAAGCAAGTAGTGCGACTTTCATGGAATAATTCGGAAATGTGACGTGCGCTGTCATTTTATACCCCACGCCACGTTTACTTTTTCATAAATACAGCTCGTGCGTCCAATATCGTTGACCTGGCTGCCCGTATACGTCACGATACGTTTTGGTGTCTTTCTCCTTTTTTCTAATCAATTCCTTTTTTGCATCGGAGATGGTACGAATGCTTCAAGGGAGGATTTCCACGATAAGTACGAAGGTCGAAGAGGGAAATTTCACCCAGTGGAGAGACAGGTGGACCCCATAAGGGTGCGGACCAACACGCAAATCGTAGCGAAGGATATGAACCGGCTTACTCTTGGCGCGGTTGGCGGGGTACGCCCACCGACTATCTAATCACTCGCCGCAGGTCTATACGTGGCGAGTGATTTAGAGAGCGTAGTGTTGAAGAGGGCACAGCGATGAGAGTCGCATCAATGCGCAAATCAACGGGCAAGGAAGGGGTCCCATTTCTCGGGTTTCTGGGCCGTTTCAAATGGTTTCTTCTTCATCCCTGCTCCACTGACCACCTCTACCCTTATTTCCAATGAGCTACTTTTCATCGTGAAATCTGCCTTTAATTTATAGGAGTAGATGTGATTTCTTTCGTAACAACATCTTGGACTCTAGTTCTACCATATTTACGATTTTGAGTTTTTTTGAATCGAACTCCCTGAGGATTGTTTGACGAGTCATTCCTTTTTTTGACCAACATGAGATCCGAATCATGATTCGAATTCCCCGAAAGTTTACATCGCCAGTTTTGGTGGGCGCGATTATCGAGTTTCTCTATAATCAACTTCTTGCAAACGATGACTCATAGGTTTGGTGGACTTCTTTTAATGTGGGCAGAGATGACGCTAGGGGAACGTCCAAACCTTTGAAACGCTTATCGGCATTATTTTGGTTGACCAATGCTAGGTTTTGAAAGCAGGGTGAAAATCGTGCCGTGGACTTGGTCGCAGCAGTAGGACCCCACTAAAATTCGGAGTCTTGATACGGCCCCATAAAATCGGGATCTTGATACGACCCTTACTTTGATTTGATGTGAATAAACGTATCCCATCATATGTACTTCAAAGTATGCAGTTGCAGCGCGGTTTATCCCTGGGTCAGATTTGCCTGAAACCCCGCCCAAACCGTCGAAATCTACACTCTCGATGAAAAGGTTGCCATTCCTTCCATTTCATAATTTTTGGAGCAGGTTGTGGTAGGGTTAGATAGAGCTGGATTTCGCTGTTACCAAGAAGTATTGAAATTGCTCTAAAAGCCTTCCACTCGAAGAGATAGGGTCTCTCAAATTTTGTCGAGTCAGCGTCGAGGATGCTGAAATTTTCATGCGAGTTTTTGCCATTAAAAGGCAATATCTCTCTAATTCCTGGAGGACTTGAGAAGACGAAGACAGTTTTGAAAAGCGAAAAATTGCGCCTCTAGATGTCCGTTTAGCTTCATAGCTGAGGAGATATTTGTGACGAGAAACTGTCATCGAATTTCTTCTATCGAATTTCTATGGGGTACATCTTTTTCCAACGTAAACGATAAAAAGGGACAATCGCCATCAATATTCTTTCGTCTCGGTATAGGCCATGCATCCGACCTCCACTCATAATTGCAGAATCGATTGAAAGGTGTCATGTGATGATGACCTGTTGACGGAAACTGTATTGTAGTAAACACATTCCGTAACTCCTACAACCTAGTGAATAGCTACTTTGGCACAAGGCACTTCCATATCTTCCACCATTTATTGTACTGTACTGCTTGATACGTCATTTGAAGCTAGAGGAATGGAGCGACTGAAGCTGCAAATAATATATTTTATCATCTTTCCTCACATATCCTCGTTTTATG